TGGTGATTATTTTATACATGAGGAAACTTGGAATTAGAAACATTAAATAATTTGATCAAATTCACAACAAGTGGTAAGTGATAGAGGCATTCTTAAGAGTTCCTGTCTTGGGAAACTATAGGTCTGAGGCACACAGCAGGGAAGGGGGAAGGAGAGAAGTCAAAAAAGGGGCGGCAAGAGCACAAGGGACAATGGATCATAGGTGCTGTGGTGGTGGGAGAAACATGGCGGCTACACCTGAGGGGAGAAATCAAATATTGTACAAAAATGAACAATGACATAAGAAAATTAAAAAGTAAATTTTAAAAAAAAGAGTTCCTCTCTTAATTGATAGACTACAATGCCTCTCCTGCCTTACCTTGCGTCATCCTTCTCCTAGAACTTTGGACTCTAAATGCCTTGATTTTTTTCTACCTGAGGACCTTTGCACAAGCTATTCCCTCTACCAAGAATGTTCTCTACCTTCAGTCCTGACTGTCTTACCTACTTAATGTGAGGTTGAGGCCAGGGCAGGGACGAAGCAGAGGGAGGAACTTGAAACTGCGGCCACCTGCATCCTGGAAGCTGGCTGATAAGCAGCCATGAAAGAACAATAAGCTCCAAGAGAGAACAACTTCTTTGAAAAGCAACTTCACTCCACCTCCCATCAAGGCCAGGCCCCGGCCACCTGCATCCTGGGATTTGGCTGATAAGCAGCCATGAAAGAACAATAAGCTCCAAGAGAGAACAACTTCTTTGAAAAGCAACTTCACTCCACCTCCCATCAAGGCCAGGCCCCGGCCACCTGCATCCTGGGAGCTGGCTGATAAGCAGCCATGAAAGAACAATAAGCTCCAAGAGAGAACAACTTCTTTGAAAAGCAACTTCACTCCACCTCCCATCAAGGCCAGGCCCCGGCCTATAAAAGATTACCCTCATACCCTGAGGGGCGCGACTTCTCTGACCTCTGTGGGGATCAGTGAACTTCGCTGGGGCGCAATAAACCTTTTGCTGTGAGAAATTTAGACTGGCTTTCCTTTTTTTTCACCGTGCCAACCCTTTCACTTAACTTCTTATCCTTAGGATCACAGTTTTGTTTTGTTTTGTTTTGTTTTGTTTTGTTTATTTATACAAGCACTGGGTACAGTCAGAAGCACGGGAGGGTGAGAGAATTTACCAGAGCGAGAGTGGGGAACAGAACAGGCAGAACGACGAAGAACACTGCTGAGGAGAGCAGTGGGTGCAGCAGGAGGGGTCTGCATGCCATGTGGGACCCTCGCCCGGTGGCCAGGGATCAAACCGGCGCTGCTGAGGCTGCAGGCAGCTTCAGAGCCCAGCGCTCAACAGCTGCGCCACCAGGGGAGTTCCTGGATCACAGTTTAAAGGTCATTTTATACTCAGAAAAACCTTCTTTCCAGCCCTTAATTAGTTCAAATTCTGATAAGCCTTAGCAGATTCTGTTAATGTATCACTAGATTATCAATTTCATGAGAGCAGAGCAGAAATTGAATGTTTTCTTCATCAATGTATTAGTATATTTCTAGTAATAAGCAAATTTTGGGCTCAAAATTCAGTCCACTTTTGTTATAGGTACACATCTTAGCCCCCTTGCTAAAAGTGCAAGTTCTCTGAGGTCAACAACTATGCCTCAGGCCTATTCTAATGAACAGAACATGAACTGTGATCCATGCTAATTCAAAATACAGCTACACTACTGTATCTGGTATTTCTCACGACTCAATTTCCCCTTCTGTAAATGGGAATAAAGACATGGTGATGACTAAAAGAGGTACTGAAAATGATGTGCGAGTGAAGTTGGCTAGAAATGCTCTTTAGATCTTTCTTTTCAGATGCATCCTTGTTTCCCAGCGGGCCATGACAGCTGATGTCCAGTGACCTCCCACCCTTTTCACACAGTTCATCTCAGGCTATAGCTTCCTTCATTGATGGGTTGGCATGGATGTGTAAATATGCCCTGATGTTGCAGTGATTGAGAGGTTAAGGATTTGTTAGGGACAGAGAGAAGAAAGGGAACAATGTATGTGTTAAGTATCCACTATGTGCCAAATCTTTTTATACATTATCTCATTTAATACTTAGCAAAAGGAAATCTGATTCTATAAATGAGGGAATAGAGGCTCAGAGAGGTTGAGTGTCTTGTCTCTGGTCTCAGAACAAGTAAGTAATGGAGACCTGACTTGAACTTGAAACTAGATCTCAGTTTCTCCATTGGACTTGCTCCTGTCCCACCAAGGCACTACCTCAAAAATGATTCTCTTCCTTGCACTTGCTCCTGGGTACAGGCAGTGAAAGATCAAAGGCATCTTTCTGTATCTTGAAAGTCAACCTGATTCTCTTGCATATAGAAAGATTTAGGTAATTTAGTAATGTTTGAGCATATAGTGTCTCAAGATTAATCACATATCTGCAAATGAATTATTTGAAGTCTTTCTTTTAAAAAGCTACATGCCGGGCCTCCTTGGTGGCACAAGGGGTTAAGTCTCAGCACTATGAAGCTTTTGGCAGCCACTGCAGCACAAGTTTAATCCCTGGCCAGGGAAGTGACCCACATGGTGCAGCAGACCTCTCCTGTCTGGCCCGCTGCTCCCCTCAGCAGTGTATTTCAGTCCATCTGCCTGTTCTGCTTTCCACTCTGTCTCTGGTGAATCCTCTCACCCTCCCCCTAACCCCCTCCTGGCAGCTCTGGCCTACACCCCAGCTCTTATATGCATAAATAAATAAATCTTTAAAAAATAAAAAATAAATAAAAACCTACATGCCACTTGAATTGAAAAACTAACACTGAATTCAAAATGCCCAAGACTAGAAAAAATTTTAATTACCTTAATTTTGAATGAGTTTTAGATAATGAATTAAAGTAGTCATGACCATTCTCCAAGTCTAAATGAAATTTCATGGAATGAGGAGGAAAGTCTAGAAGGGAAAAGGAAATGGACAGAGGATGTTACCCCAGACTTGGGCTTGATGGAGAACTGCACTCCTTGACCTTACACAACTGGCTCCATTGCACAGCCTACATACGGTGGCTGCCCAGTGTAATCTACCTGTGGGCCAATCTCCTGGAACCTTTTTGGAACTACACTTGCCAAGGCCACTCCATTTCAGGTCTGAGGATTCAGATTCTCTAAGGATGATGCCCAAGAACCAGCATCTTAATAAGGACCCCTAGAAGTTTCTGGTTTCTAGGATTTGAGAACAGTTGTAGGAGCTCAATAAAAATTGGAAAATCATGATGATTTAACATATTTATTTATTCCATGGGGATGTAATTTTATTTTTAGAAATTTGGAATTTTTAAAATATTTATCCCACAAATGTGATACAATCCCACTTTCAAAATGGAAGAAATAATACATATATATAAATTCATAAACATAAATTACATATATATATTTATGATATGCTCTCCTTTTTCAGAGTCAGGAATCAACCTTCCTCACCAAGGAGGGAGCAATGAACAATTATTAGATAGATAATTGTATCTTATGGGGGAACAGTGTGTTTTCTAAATTTATAACCCTTAGTATGTTCCTTAGCTAGGAATACACCCTGAGTCAACTACTAATTAATTGCACATTTGGGACACCCTTATTTTTCTTCTATACAATCTCCAAAAAAGGTAATTTTTTGGATAAAATATTTCCTTTTCTTATCCCAATCCTCTTCCCTGGTTAAAGTCAGTCCTTGAACTCACTGCCTTGCCTACTACTCTACTAATTAAAATGTTTGAATGAGAAATAAATATATAAAAAAAGAAAGAACCTAAGAGCAAACAGCTTTTTGTCATTAGGCAAACACCTCTCATCTTTCCCCAGCTTAGTAATCTGTGTCCCTGTGCTTCTGGGGGCTTGCCCCAAGCCTAAGGATTCCCTGAGACTTGAAGGTCAGGAACACAGAACCATGATTCATCAGTCTCAGGGTTTACTGGAGTCTCCCCATTGGGGAGAGCTCTGAGAACCCAATCACCTTGGAAACAACAGCAGGTTTTCTGAATATGCACAGAGGGAATATTTTTTAAGCACTATAAGAAAACAAGCCTGAGTTATCCACAAATGTAAGTCACGATTCAAAACTGTCACTGACTCGGAAGCTTCTCTAGTCAGGAATAGTATCTTCAAGCTGACAAGTCACAAATACTTTTGCTAACCAAACTGGTAGTTGGGGAACAGCTCAAAAATATCCCATCCCTGTATTTTTCATTCTCAAAACAGAAAGGTTTTCACTTATTCACCTAGCCAGGCCACTGTTGATGCAGTTACCACCAGAACAGTGAATATTAGCCATCAAGCTACCCATGTTATTAGTAGAAATTCTGATTCTGGAAAAGGAAGTGTAGAAAATACACTGATAGAAGACATTTTGAACCTTAAAATGGAACAGTTTGCTTTGATGTAAATGGCTATGAGTGTGGAGGGAATGGTTAGGGGAGAATAATTTCTCTTGGATTATCCTAACTAGTATTACAAATTGTCTCGCCTGTTTCATTAGTCTATTTTCTCTATTGGATAATCAGGTGAATGAAATCAGTTTTTTGCTTGTTCGATATATTGAAAAGGACTAAATAACATCGATCCCCTCCTCTGTTATTTCTTTCACAATAGATTTCAATCAAATTTACGGAGCTCCTTCTGTGCCAGGCTCTGTGCCAAGCACCGGAGATATAAAGATGAATGAAAAAAGTCCTGGTTTATTAACGATCTCTTAAGAATTGCAAAGGAGGGGGAAGCAGTGTCTCGCCTGTCGCTACCCCCCTCCCTTCCACGGCTGCTTGGACGGCTGTCGAACCAGCCGTGGGTGTGAGTACTCCACTACTCCGGGTTCTGGGAACACGTTACTCCCTGGCCAGCCCACGAACCTAGCGCCGGGGCTGTCTCGTTTCCAAGAGCCAAACACCCAAGTTCAACTCCGCAGCCACGGTGCGCGCTCCGCCACGCACCGTGCCTGGCTCCTTCCACCTGACGGCCCTCCCGTCGGGGTGCGCCAGACCCCGGCCCGCTTACTTTGCCGCTGTCGCTCACGCCGAGAAGGTGATCCCGCAGCACCTCCATGGGACAGGTCCAGGTGGAGTGGACGAAAGTCCCTCGGAAGATGTGCGCCAGGGGCGGCATCCGGGCGGCACACATGTCAGCGGCCGAGCGCAACGTGGGGTCCGCGCACCGAGAAGGGCACACCGGGCAGAGACGCGCCTGGGTTTCCCGCGGCTGCCGGTGGCTGCGAGCGGACACCGCTCCGGTCTTGTCCTGCCCCCGCTTCCCCGGGCAATCGCCTGCCCCCTGCAGGCCGCGCCCAGGGGCCGGCTCGTTGCCTCCTCGATGCCAATAGGATTTTTCTCCTGGGAGTAAGCTCCGCACTCCAGTGAGGTGTGGTCTCTCTCTCCTCCCCTGCGTTAGTTTTTGATGTGTTAACTCTGAGTTTTCCTAATCTCCGCTCACGTTGCAGTTCCTTTAACCCGTGGTAGCTGAGTCACCCACCCAGGGGGGCGGGAGAGAAAGGAAAGAGCTGGAGAATTCAAGAGTCTGGTACCTTTTATTGGTGACTAAATTTGCGTGTTTCCTGTCCCCCAGCCTCCAACTTTCTTTAGCTGGCACACCTAGAGTTGAGTCTGTCAGCTTTCCCCGCTTGCTAAACTCGTAGGGGCTATTCGTGGCCAAGCCCTGGATCTCTGCAACCCGTAGCACCCACACGGTCTTAACTGGCACAAGGTACAGATGGGTGAAAGGTCAGATAGCATGCTACCAGTTTCACTTTCAGTTTCTGCCGGCTGCAGAATTTGTCATACCTGGTGTGTTGGAAACTGGCATTACAGAATTACTGGAGGCCTCACCGTTGGAGGTTAATTAATTTATTTTTTTAAGATTTATTTATTTATTTATACAAGCACTGGGTACAGTCAGAAGCACGGGAGGGTGAGAGAATTCACCAGAGCCAGAGCGGGGAACAGAACAGGCAGACTGATGAAATACACTGCTGAGGGGAGCAGCGGGCGGCAGGAGAGGTCTTTCTCGCCATGTGGGACCCTCGCTGGCGGCTGGGGATCGAACCGGTGCTGCAGAGGCTGCGGGCAGCTTCGCAGCCCAGCGCTCAACCAATGTACCACCAGGGAGGCCCTGGAGGTTAATTTAAATGCCAAAGTCCCTCTCTTCATCTTGAGGCCAATGTTTTGGCCCTTGTGTACCTTCACACACAATTGTAATGCCAATTTTTATTTTTCTCATACTTAAAATAAACAAATCTCTTCTGTTTACTTCCAACTATATAGGGGAGAAAATTAAGTCCTCAAGTCAGTTCCCTAGGAATGGCAGTGTGGCATGGCTTGTTGGAGAGCATGCTGGATTAGGGATAAGGAGACTGTGCTCAACATCCTGATCATCCTCAGCTGTGAAAATGAAACTAGGACTGGGTGGCTGCTAGGACTTAAGTTAGGTCAGCATTTCTTCCTTCCGCTATACCTGCAAAGTTCTTTACTCAGTTTCCATTCAGGGCCTTTGTCACGCAGTTCCTCCTGCCCCTACTGTCTCCTGTGGACCTTCACATGGCTCACACTTCTCATTGATATCAAATGTACACTTTTCAGAGTAACCTTCCCCCACCACCAACCCATTTACACACCCCAGCCACACAAAGCTTCTATTCCAAGAATGTGTCTTAATTATGCCATTGCATTTGTCATATTCATCCTCATTTTCTTCCCATTTATTTCTGCTTCCCTCCCCCGACACACATGCACACATATAGACACAGTGATGTAAATACCACAAGACCAGTGGTCTGATGCCTAGGAAAGTGCCTGTTGTTCTATATATATATAAACTGAATAAATGAATTAATGGTTTTTCTGGAGATAGAAATATTTATACAATAACCTGGTAAAAATATCTATTTGGGTTCCTACATAATGGATGTGAGTTTCACTGCAGTGCATAAGCAGGCTTTCTCTGAGTTGCTGCTTTTATGGCACGGGGCTACTTTATATCAATGATTCATTCATTCCCGTCTCAGTTTCTTCAACTCCCTGTATCGATATCTGTGGTGAACAATTCATTCCAGTTTATGGAGGACTTTCCATGTTTTAACACTGCAAATCTCAGGACGCAGGAAGCTCTTCAGTCCCAGATATACAGAAGTGGTTGGCCACTTACCAAGGACTTGGGATAGGAAGCCCTAACACTGACAGCATTGTAACTGCCTCATGGAGACGCTAGCACTTTCTCCCTCTCATTTTCTCCTGATTCTGCAGATCAAATCCCTCCTTGCAGTTCCAACAGCCAGCACACTGAAAACATCCTCTTGACCTGGGCTTGTATACACACAAACTTCAGAAAGAAAGATGAAGGAAATACCTGACTTTTAAAAAGATGAGTCAATTAAGTGTTTCTAAAAGATGTGTTCATTTATTTAATGAAAGCAATCTAAATTTCCAACGATTGAGAATTAGAATGCATCTACTAGTTTAGTGAATTAGAATGTATCTACTCAGTAGAATACTTTACAAGTATTAAAAACAATGTGGAAATATGTAACCACTGAGACATATAATAAAATTTTAGGTTTTTTAAAGTGCATTTATACTATGGTTAAAATCATGAAAAGTCTATAGGTTTATGAGCTAGAATTGAAAAAGTATACCAAACAGGGGTATGACTCTACTGACAGAATGGGATTGTTAGGGAATTTGGTTTATGTGGTTTATGACATGAGTAATCACTAGATAGCTTTAAACAAAGCTAATCTTCTTAAAGAAGAAAGGGTCATGGGCCCCCGGGTGACATGGTATTAGCACTCCCCAGGTAAGAGCTCTTTGGAGCAGTGCACAGTTCTGCTGTGCCAAGTTGCATAAATGCATTCACTTCAGTCACCCATGAGGAACTCCTAGATTTCCAATTGTTTTCATCTATTCTCCACCCTCAGACTTGGTGACTCCTTTAAATTGCTGGCTCTCCTGCAATTTTGTTTCCCATCCTGGTATGCCCAGGGAAATGTTCTGAAGGCTACTGAGGTCTAGAGGAAGAAAGGTGTGCTGAGCTTTTATATTCACCTTTGAAACATAGCCCAAGCACATCACAAGGCAGTTTATGATTAATATAGTTACTCTGACTGGGGTAAAGTATGCAACAAATGGTGTTTATGTGCCTCCAAATTCTCAAGGAAATAACAGCTCTTATTCTTCAGCTCTTTCCATAGCCTTTGTTTAAGTTCATGCAATATTAGAACTGCAAAAGTCTTAGAGATATTATTCCATGTGCATTTCATTGCTATTCTCTGGTAGCCCTACCCCCCACCCTCCCACCCCCCTACCCCCCAACCCCCTTCAGTAAAGGTGCATTTCAATCCTTCCCAAGTCACTTCTCCAAAGGAAATCCAGCAATGGTACGCACTACTGTTTTGAGTGCCCTACTGTTCACATGTAACCTCCAGAAGAAAAGAGATTCTCCTTAGTAGAGATGCTTGCGGGGCCCCACAGGATTCTTCTGGCTCTCTTCCCTTCAGTCTCCCATATCCTGTGTGTTTGCTTTGCGCATGATTTTCTCTCTGCCTATGGTGCCTTCTGTCATTACTCTGCTTACCTCATGTTACAATCCACTCTCCCCTGGCTAAATCCTTCAGTTTAATTGCCCACTCCTACTCCCATCCATGAAATCTTTACACAGCCTCTTTCTCTTAAGAGCTCCTTCTGAGTATGTGGGATGCTTAATTGTTCCTTTATTAGTCAATTTCACCCAAGAGGTTGTGGTCTTCTTAAAGATCATGTCCTTTTCCCTTGTCTTCCTTTCACACAGAGATTGCCTGATAGGAGGTGCTTAACAGCCTGATATGAATGCTAAATTTCAAGAGATGGCTCTATTGACTGTATTTCAGTGATAAAAATAAGAGTGCTACAAGCTAATGGTGAGCAATTCATTGGAAGTAAAACTGAAAACAGAGCTTTAGTCTACTTATTTTGTTTTCCAGCACTTAACTATGAAATGTTTCAAAGACACTGAGAAATCGGAAAGTTTCATTTCTTAAGATCACATTGCTCCCTACTGTAGATGGAGTCAAATTGTCTCAAAACTCCCCAACTACTGGGCGGGACCTCTCATTGACAGAGGTGGGACCTCTCATTGCAAAGAATGGGACCATTAATAGCATGATCAGTTTTGCCATTTCCGTCACCTTGTTAGTATGATTGCACCTGCAACTAGTCAATCCTTCCTGCTAGAGAGAGAATTTAAATATATAAAAAGATTTTCCCTTCTATTATCTCATTTTGAGTCTCACAACAACCCTATAAGGTAGGAGTATTTAACCATTCCACAGAGGGGGCTCCTGAGGTCCAGAGGGTTGGCTTGCCTATCCAGTTAGTAGAAGATGGACCTGAGTGGTGAATCCAGTTGTTCTCACACACCGTGATGTGCATCTCAGCACAGCAACTTCAAAGAATTTTCCATTCAATATTGCCATGACTCACTTGGTCACTGCATTGTGGGTTGTCATCTACAATTTTCTCATTGTACATGGTTTTCCACAGTTGCTAGTGACACACAGGTCTACTATCAAAGTGAAACCAAAGTGAGAATAACAGATCTAGGGGAGAGAACAATCCAATCAGCATAGGTCAGGAAAATGAACCAGTGAGAACAACTCTTGTTTTCACCAGGCAGAGCGTGAAGGACAGGCAGGTTACATGAGAAGCCACTTTCCTCTCCTATCCAGGAGAGAAGTTGTCATTGCACAGTGAAATAAATGCCAGCCTATTTTATTTATTCTTTTCGTGTAGCTAAATCCATCAGTTTCCATGGTGCCCCATGTTCACCATGGAAACTCTGACAAGCTCGTTATGCTTTAAGAAAAAAAAAAAAGGCACACCAAAAATCCGAGATGGGATAAATGCATTCCTTTTAAAAATGTGTTCTTCTGAGTGGGATGTCTTGATGGACAGAAAAGCATAATGATCTCAATTTTCCAGTTTTTAAGTGAGAACACATGTTTGCATACCCATCAAAGAAACACCGTTGGCCCTCACGCCCACACTACTTGATCTGTGTAGCAGTAGTTATGTCTGCTAGTATTTCACTTCTGCGTGTACTGGCAACAGAGATATGGCTCAATTCTTGTTTAGCTGATTTTTATGAGAATACAGGGCTAGTCCCTATGTATTTTTTGCTGTTTATTCATTCAGCAAATATTTATTGGGAATTGATATTATGCTAGACACCATGCTAAACACAGTGGTTATGACAATTTATGAAACATGTTGCTGTGCCCATATGCAACTAACACTACTCATCTTTCCATCACCTCTAGTAGCAGGAATGAACAGTTTTCATAGGGTTACCACAAGAATTCCTTAGCATGACTGGCAAACAGTGTATTATCGCTATGCTACATATCAAATTTTAAATGCTAGGAATACAGTTAAAAGTACTAAGACTGAATTTGAAATGACACATTGATAACAATGCAGATGTATACAATTTTCTTAACATTATTTGTTTTATAAAAGTCTGTTATTTCTA